CTTCATTCTTTAACTCTGTCAATTCTAATCCAAAGTTAAGATCAATACAACACCCTAAGCAGTAGGGCAGAGCCCCAGCAAAGCAGCACTCACACCATGTCCTGAGGCTTGTAGAGTTCAGCAGCTTCCCCCACAACCCTGACACCCACCCTGCTGCTCAGGGGACGAGGTGGAAGAGTCAAGAGTGAAGGAATGAAGTTGAGCCTGGGAAGAAGGTATGGGTGGGAATAAATGTTTTTAGTTTTGTCATTGTTTTTTACTACCCTACACTATATTTAATTATCAATAAATTAAATTAATCTTTAACAAGTTAAATCTTTCCCCTTCATAGTAACTGTTGAGCGATCTCCTCTCCTTAATCCTTGAGGGCTTTTTTGCAATTCTTTGCTCTCCCAGCCCTCTGGAAGACAGTGAGTGAGGGAGTGGCTGGGTGGGGACCTGGCAGCCACTCAGGGTCAACCTTCCCCATGTTTGGCAATGCCCATCTTGCAGTCAGCAGCAAGGCAGGAGCAGGAGAACAGGAGAGACACACCAAACATGAAGAACTCACTTGTGTGTGACACTCATTCACCTGTTCTCCTCCTTGTGACATTTCATACAGTATCAGCTCATAAAATCCAGTGGTACCTAAAACCATAGGGCAGGATGACAAGGTCAGCCTTTGATAGAGACTCCATCTCTGGGCCAACCTGTCCCCTACAATAACCCTACACACAGGCCACGCAGGGAGACTGACAGAAGGTCACTGCAGAGCTACACAAAGGAGAATTCCAGGCAACTTCCTTTGTAATCTCTCTCTGAGAAAAGGAGTGAACTCCCACATGGCATGTTACTCACCCCTGCTATGACAGAATCAAAGGAATGCCATCCATAGCTGCCAGGAAAGCATTTTAATCTCCCCAGAAATTAGATTCAAATGTTATTAATGATTGACATTAGGCAAAGTGACCAAACACAGGGCCAGCTGAGCTGGTGTGGACTTCCCAGACGTGGCCTCAGCTGGACGTGGGTTACCAGCCATGGCAGTAAGGCCACAGAGGTGTAAGCAGGTGTGACCTCTAGACTGAGCAAACCTTGGAAATGACAATGTCATGACTCCACATCAACATGCTGATGCAATGCATAATAATGTCCTTATCACAGCTGTAAGGAAAACAGTTATCATTCCCACTCACCTATTGACAACACAGAGTGGAGCTAGTGGAATTACAATAATTGGAAAATGTATGAAAGATGTGCCTAAACCTACAACTCCGCTGTTCTTTTATGCCAAGTGTTGTAGCAGTCATTTTTTCCCTTGTCAGAAGCAACAGGCTTAACCCTACAGTCAATATTAAAGGGAGGGGAATATACAGTCTAATGAGAATTGCACTCATCCCGTTCACAGGGCCCTGGCAGATCAAACAAGGACCATTTCCTACTTTTCCAATAACATCTAAAAGCCTGAGGCAATTTTCCAGTCACAGACATTGGTACCAATAAACAACACAACTTTAACTGAAATAGTTTTTGAAATTTACCCAAAAGGGATTTTGAGATTTGATAAGAGGCTCTTCAATTACTGTTTCCAGATACACTTCATAATAGTATTCATTGAACTTGTTTCATTCAGACCAAAACAGTGATCAAAGCAACTTAAGTAAAGCTACCTCTTTTACTGGTTTAACATTTAATCACAGTTTAGAGTCACCTGAACTGTATGCATTCCACAGACAACAAGTTCTATTGCTTACTGATGTAGAGCAGGGAAATGCAATCAATTTATATTGTGTCTATTAGTGTGCTTTTTACAATGATCCCATAAATCACACCTACTGCTGTGGGCAGAGTTGCTGCATTTCTGTTCCTACTGTTGTAGGAAAATGCTGAAAGCAGGAAAAGCACAGCTGAAACCAACAACAAGGAGGTAAATGAGACACTGTGCAACAACAGAAATGGGAAACTCAGACTGCATGGCACTGTCTTGGAAGAAACTGGGCTGGTTTCTTTTATAGGATAGGTCTCTGTGCATTTGAGAACTGTGCAGCTATACAATGCCATGCCAAAAAGAGCCTTATGGAATTTAACAGCTGCAGCGAAGCAACAGATCTCAGTGGGTTTAAGAAAGAAAACATCAAGTATTTCAACTCAAGGTGAGATTATAGTAAGGCAATGTAAAGATAACAGCATCCAACTACACAGTAAAAACCCAACTTTAGTATTACATATTTTTCCTGCAAGGTTTCTCCACACCTCAAACATATTTCATCTCCAATAAAATTAAAACGCAGATTTAAAACTACATGGACACGTTACAATTCTGGAAAAGAAACTTCAGTTTAAAAGCTCTTTCAGCAGGTATCACATATTTATCAAACTAACTACTGTGTCACATTAAGGCTCTGGCAGATTTATGCAGGTGTTAAGAAAGAGAACTTCGATTTATTTCAGACTCCTAGGCTGAAATATTGCTTACTTGGTAACAACAGAAACTTCATTCAATAAGAAACCCCTCACCTTCTCAAGTCCTCCATCTCAAACCTTATGCTTATATAACAGATTAAAGTTTCCCCACAATTTCATTTAGGAATAGGGAGCATTGCTCTCCTGATTACAAAGGTCAACTTACAGATTATCACCAACTATTATATTTCATTCTTTCCATCATGCAAAGAAAATAGTTTGAAATGCAAAGAAATATATGTAGAAATGTCTAGGTAAATCCCCTCAGTTCAGGAATTACACATACTTAAAAGATTTATGCCGTAGTATATGTTCTTACATTGATCTATCCACATCTGAGAAATAATGTCTGAGTCCAAAATATTATTCTCTAGTCATCTTCTTCTCTTGGTTTTAACACTTCCTCACATCATCATTTGTCTTGTCCTGTTTAATTGTACCCAAATTAAGCAAAAGTTGCAAATCCTTCGAACAACACAATCTCTGGGCAGCACGAGATTATCCAGCTTCCAGTTCCATTATTTGTTCAAACAGGATAAGAAAAAAATACACTCATTTAGAGAAAAAGTCTGTTTGTGTAAGCAAATATCTTTATATTATACTAAAAATCAGCAAAAATAACCTTTAATATTCATCATAACAAACAAGTTTTAAAATAAAACAAAATATTTAGGTGACACATTCTCTTCCAAGCATCTGGCCTACCCTAAAATAAAACCACAGCCTGCTGAGGCTAGCAGGAGTTTTCCTCACTGGAATAACATGGCTAACCAAGTTGCCATTAATGAAAAATGGTATTTAAGTTTGCCTTCAAACTGTTTAGCCAATGTGCAGACAGCCTTAAAAAGAACATAATGCTGATTTAGGGGGCCTTCACCTTTATCTAAATCAGAGGGACAGACAAAGAGACAAACAACTTTAATTCAAAGAACTTGTGTCCCTCTGCTTCTCGATAGACCCAAGCACGCTCGACTGCAAACAGAAGTGAAAGAAAAAGAATGGATTAATTTGAAGATAGTGGACTTCAGGGATCCTGACTAATAAAATAGTTTTTCTTTTCAGAAAAATAGTAGAAATGAATCAGACTACTGCAATTCCACAGGAATAATGAAGAGCTCTCTTGAAAAGATCTGAATATGCATCTGTTAAAATTTTATGAAAGTACTGGGAGCATCACTCTGGAGACTGGCTCCCCTCACCCCTTCTTTTCTTAACCATGGCTCCATCACCTTCAAAGTTAATTTCACAGGTTTCTAGTCACTGCAGCAATAACACTGTTCTAAAATCGGGACCTCAGGAAATTCTTCCTTAAACAAAGATTAATATAAAACAGAGCAAAATATTCTAACCAGGAATACTCAATGGGTGGATTTAGTTTGTATATATTACTCCAGGAGTCTCATCAGAATATGTAAAATTGAAACCAAGGATCAATGAAGAGGAACAACAGAAAACTAAAAAATAGCCTTAGCATTTTTAGTGGAGAATTTCAGAATTAACTGAATACTTAATGATTTAAATAGTTTTTTTTGAATTCTGCAGAGAATTAATGCAAATTTTTCCAAACACAAAATAACAGAGGAGAACAAATTTTATTATTGCTATCAATGGTTTTTGCAGTGTTGCCTAGAAACCCAGATTCAAATCAGAGGAGCAGCATGGCAAACACTGAGGAAATAAGAAAAAAAAACCCACAAAAATGCCCAAAGCAGAAAACTCTAAAACCCCCAAGAAACCTAACAAAAAAAAAAAAAAAAAACAAAAAAAAAACCACAAAAACAAAAACTTCCAGGTTTTTTTTCACCTTATTAAACTGAACTTGAACTTTTAACAATTCAGTGGCCTAAGGGAAGTAGTTAATATTCAGTCCTGATGGAAAATATACATGAAATTCCATTGTCTCTTTTGATTTTTGGATTGTTTTGTTTCTGTGCAAAAACAATTACATTACAAAAACAATGAAAAAAATTTGTTTGCTGTACAAGATCTCATCATGCATCATGAAAACAATAACTCAAATCCTTACTACTATGATACAAATGGTTTGTGTTAATCTGTTCTAAGCTGTTCTCTTGGAAATGGAGCTCTGCTCTAGCCCAAAGCTTTGGCCCAGGCAATGCAGGAAATGATTTGAAGCAGGTCCAAGCAGGATGAGCTTGCCCAAAGCTGCCAAAAGGCTTCACTTTTTCTTCCTCTCTTTATTCAGATTGATCAAACCCATTCTTGCTTACAAGACACTAACAGCCACATACTGACTTACCAGTGGCATACACTTCTTGAGAAGTGAAGTCCTACACTTAGAGAATTATTGGGAATTCTAGCAAATGCAAAATCCCTAGAAATGAAAATTTTCACCGCCCCATAAAATGAGAGCATAAACCTTTTAAGTATTCCAACAATCATTCAAGAGCCTGTCATGTTTATGGAATTTCCCAGGGAGAGCAGATTTTGGCTCAGATTAGATCCATTCAAGTTATCAACAGGTCTGGACAAAGTCTCTGCACCAAAGGACGTTTTTTTGTCCCATATTTTGAATGCAGTTGACTGGTGCTACGTACCTGGAAAACTGCTCCTGCAGCCCCCGCATCTGGGCTCTGCTCCGCTCCGACTCCAGCGTCACCTCCCGTAATCTTTTCTCACTCTCAAGTCTCAAATGCCTTTCTTCCTCCAACTCATGTATCAGCTTCTCACGCTGAAATGCCATAAAAATTTACTCATTAATTTTACGCAAACCATACTTTTAGGAAAAATTGAGATTTAATTTGGGAAAAATCATCATAAAATCAAAATAATTACCCTACTAAACCAGTGCTATATTTTTGTGAGCAATGTTACAGAGGGGGAAGAAGTTTTTTCAGAATATCCCATCACACTGAGCTACCCTTCCTCAGCTCACTCATGGATGTCAGCATATTGAAAACAAACACCCACCCCCTCCTTCAAAGTGCTTTTCCTTTGCCTCCATTCAAAATAAATACAAAAAATTATATTTGAGATCTGTGACCCATCTTGTCTGAATGCAGACACAGGAAGAATGAAACAAATCAAGAGGTCAACTTGTCACCCATCCCCAAATGTTTCAAGCTCACAAGGAGGAAATGAACCTGATTCTACAGCCACTGGTTTTCTTGTTTTGGCTGAGAGGAGGAACCCTACCAGTAGAAGAGAGTTTATTTGAATTTACTTAGTGAAATACTATGATAACAAATATGTTTTTAAAAACTGAGTACAAATCAAACCAATGCAAGAGCAATAAAAGTGTCATTAACATTACTAACAGCTCTCAAAGGCAATGGGTTTTGCTAATTTTTAAAATGTAGGACCCAAAAACCCAACCTACCTGGATAAATCTACATAAGTCATGTAGGTCATGGCCTAACCCTTTTTTTTTTTTTTTAATCATCATAAAAGGGTACCTAAATATTTTAAAATCTTATTTCAATAGTGGTTAAATATGACTTAAGAGGAGCAGAAAAATTAACCTAAAATTATTTAAAATGTTACTGCAATTAAAAAAATGTATTTACAGGCTTTTATATGTGACCTCTGTTAAACAGAAATGAAGTGAAATTAAATTTTATCCTTGTGAATTTAAATGAGAAAACAAATCAATAAAACCCCTAAGGATTTTACATGGCACTACATTATTCTCTGTCAGTGATGGGGTTCTCATGTCTAGGAACAGCTCAGGTCACTGTGAAGCTACAGCGGGTTCCCCACCCATCTGCTTTGTGCCTACGGTGCAGGGAGATTTGCAGCCTGTCAGACAGCCTGATGTAATTCCATGGCTGACCTAAATTTTCATGGCATACCTGCAAAAACGTATATAAAAATTATCCATACAGTTTCATTAGTAAATAACAGAGGTATCTTAGAGATAAGCCATTAAATGGGAGAGACAGGCTATTTGTACAAATCTCACAGCTATAAATCTTACTGGATAATAATTTACAATAGCAGTAACCAGGGGACCTAAAATATGAACATTGCCAAGTGGAAAACGGATCTTAAAGACAGTGATAAATAAGCAGATGCCACAAAGGGAGGCTGCAAAGGTTTAAATGAAATATCTATATGCTTGTGAAAAAATAGGGGGAATTACTCAGAGAACAGAGGGGTTCTGTCTGGTTGGCCATATGTAATACCAGCAAAATGGAAAACTGCACAAGAAGAAACAAATTACTGGCAAAAAAAATACATTGTTCTAACTGAATTACCTAATCATTGTCCTTAGTGTTACACAGCCATGCCCTGCCAGGTGCTGAGTAATCCTTAGTTTCTGCCACAGGAGGAAGAGCAGAGAGTTCAGCACCAGGCAGAAGACAGCAATTGGCTCACAGAGGATAATTCAGGCTGATGATATGGGAGGAATATTCACAGCAGTCAGTATTGCTCCAGCTTAGATCCCACCAATGCCAACTTCAAAATGATCCTGCTCCAGGAGCTCCTGCTGAATGCTGACAGCATCTTCTCTTGCAGGGAAGCTTCACTGCTGCTAAAGGGGTATCCAGGACCTCCCAAGTCAGTGGGTAACAAGGAAAAGAACATAAAAGGAATACATAACTAACTACCACCTAGGACTTAAGAAAAACTTTCAGAAGATACTGGTGTCTACAGAGACTGAGCTTAAAACCAAATATGCAGCTGTTCCTACAGGAACTGAGAAGCCACCTTGGAAAAAGCTCAATGCTACTATGAACACCTGAGTAACCAAGCTGACCCAAGGCTGTGCCTGAGCTACCTGACACAGTAAAGCTAAACTACAAGAAGGGACTGCAAAGCAGAGATCCAGCCACACCTTCAAGCCTTAGTCAGCATCACAACAGCCACAATGATCTCTATTGTGATACCGCATTGTCACAGCACATGCCACAGACAAGACAGCCACAATACACAGAGCATCATCATACAATTTCAGAAGGCTTTAAGTATTCACCCAAACACAGTAACACCATACCACATCAGAAAGCTTCAAGCATCTGCCCTTCTTGTTCTTGAGCCCAGCTTTTTATACCCCTCATGTTCATGCATTGCACCCGTGTGCCCTCTGCTCCCTTTGTGGTTGGCCAGTGCCCCTGGGCACTCCATGGCTCATTGCTGTCAGTGCTGCTCAGCTGCTCATCCCACTGGGGATGAGGCTGGGCCACAGCCCTATTCCCAGTTACCAAAAAGTGTGTGCCTACACAGCAACTACCTCTGCATGTCTGCTATGCTGACCACGCTCTGGTCCCCAAATAAATCTTCCCACATTATGCACAAAGCCAGATCTCCACAGGTAGGACAGACAAAAAGTGACGCTGTAAAAAGCAGACGAGTCTTCTATTCTCCTGTCCTGCAGAAGGACTGTGCTGTACCTACAGCCTGTGCTGTGCCTACGCTCCTGCTCCTCACAAACCCTCACCTTCTGGAAGAGAACTGCATAGACAGCACAGATTCACAAACCCAGACTTCTCCCTACAGGTCAAAGAGCTGTGCAAGCTATTTCTAAGCTTCATTTACCTCTTGCTGATAGGTCAGAGAATGCTGTTGCTGCCATTTACTCCTTCTGTTCATGTGGGGAAGGCTGTGTGATAACACACATCCTACACAAAGAGATCAGCAAATCCACATGGGGGCTTTTTTTTAAGAAAGAACATAGAAATTACCTTAAGAAAAGTACTCTTAAATGAGCAACACATGTGCATTACAAGAACAATATCATTTCAGGAATGAAATCCCTAAACATTAGGAACTTCTGGAATGAGCTAAATGTCCAGTTCCAATTCAGCCACCTCATGGGCAAGAATGACAACACATTGTTAATTATATGAGCTCGTACTGTTGCTGTACAAAACTCCTGCTCCTTTCAGGTTTAGGGATGAATAAAAGAGTCACAAGGCTACAAGACCAGAAACAACAGCAGTGACCTATGGCCCTGAAATTCTGAGTTCTGTTCCTAGCTACCAAAACCCTCCTGTATGAATGGGGCCAAGACTTGCCCACAGGACATCTGCACGGCAACAACACCATCAGCCTTCACTGCCGGGATTCTTCACAGGAAGTTGTTGGCAACCTTGCAGCACTTCTGCCATTTCTTGCAGGCAGAAAGCAGATCTGCTTTCAGCCAGATCACAGACAATAAATACTGTGAAGTGGGGAGAAAAAGGTGTAAGAGACCACCCACACTTGGCAAGTTTTCAGTCTGCAGGACACAAAACACTAAAGTATACTACACATAGAAAGTAGCCCCCAACAGTAGTGACCTTATCCACAGAAAAGAGAACTAGATTTTTATTCAAACCCAGAAAATCCATAATGAAGTGTCAGAAGAGAGAAGTGAGCCTAACATACAGAAAGGCCAGGATTAAAAAGAGATTTTTGTAGATTTTTTTTGTCTCCTGGAAGAAGAAAAAATATCCCTGAACTTTGCAGGAATTTTGTGCTGACATAATGCACTTTATAAGCTCCTCTGTGCTAACCCCACTTTATTCCTGTGCAAAAAAAAAGGTGTGTGAGAAGAAATAAACTGAACTGGTTAAAGGTTTTATAGTAAATATAAGCTTAATAGAAAGTAATAGAATTAGCATGCTATGTGAAGAAAAGGTTGAATAAAAAAAGCGTCATGCGAAATGCTTCAGTTCATTTTAACACAAGAAAAATCATTGCCATCTTCCAATGAAGTCATGAATTCCCACTTGCCTCTTCCTCTTTAATTGCAGATTCTTCTCTGCACAAGCTCTGCTCAAACTATTTTTCTCTACTTCCTCTCCTTGCCTTCTGCAGCACAGCTGTACCCTTCCCTTCTTAGAAGCATAACCTTTACTTGATTCTTGCTTCCCCTTTTCAGCCTCCCCAGAGAGCCTGACTTTCATCACAGCACCCAGTCAAATTCCTGATAACTTTCCAAACAGGCAAAAAATTCATGTGAACAAACTAGAGTGAAAGACACTGTTAGCAAACTCTACTGATACTTTTGTGCAAGTCCTGGAATATTTTAGCACGGAAGAAAGTTTCACGGGCTGCTCAATATGCTCCTGAGCCAGAGCCTGCACTTCAGCAAGCTCCTTCTTGTGTAGCTGTGGAAATGTTCGTGTCAAAATGTTTCATTCCTCACTCAGGCAGGGACATGCACCTCATGTTAAGTCATCTTTTAAAAGTTAAGGAAGGAATCCAATCTGAGCTTCTCGTGATCAAAACAAAACACATGAAAACTATTTATAACTAGATTGGAAGGAATGCGTGTGTTTGACTGAAAAATGTGATTTGTTCCTCAGCACTCCATGAAGAGACCAAGAGGCACCATTTATTCTCAGAGTTACTGGATAATAGCTGTGCTCACAGTCTAAGGATTAACCCTGTGTAGCCATACAAGTGTCTGCCAAGAGGGGCTCAACCATTTGTGTCTCCCTTAATTACCCTGGGATGTGCCCAAATGTCAGCACCCAGTTCTTTCACGTTCTACCAAAGTGCAAATGTCTGGTGTGTTGAGTGAGGAAGTGTGAGTGTGGATGGGGCAGGTGGCAGCCTGGAAGGCAAACATGCACATGGTGCTGTGGGGTGAGGGATGCACAACAGGTCCTTCGCTTCTGAGCAGCCTGACCCCAGCACACAGAGGGGATGTGTGGCACGGCAGGGTTTGGCACAGAAATGCTGATGTCTTCCCTTTTTTTCATTTCAGGGTTATTTCATTGTTAACTATAAATCTCAGCATGG